GCCTCTCCAGCCCTTGCACTGGTGCCAGACAATTCAGTTTCACCCCCATATGACTCTGGTGCCTTTTGAGCTGCTGCTACAGCACTAAGCTAAGAGGGAGTGATTCTGAGCCATGCCACGTGTGGGCCCTTTAAGAGGAACACCTGGGACTCCAGAAGTCTCTGTCTCACTCAGCCACAATCTCTACTGGCTTTTACAGCTAGAAGTTACAGGCACTTCTTTTCCTGGGAACTGGAACCCTGGGCTAGAAAGCCTGGTTTGGGGCTGGGGCCCCTTGCTCCTGAGGGGGACCTCCACAGCCAGAATATCCCTCCTGATTTTTATCTGAGACAGCTGGGTAAGAGATGAGCCCATTCTGTATTTCCATTCCTTTTACCAGTCTCAGTCTCAATGTGGCTTTTTTTTTTTTTTATCTCCTTAGTTATAGGACTTCTGTCTAGCTAGATTTCAGGTGGTTCTGAGTGGTAGTTATTCTGTGGTTTGGTTGTAATTATGTCGTGGTTAAGAGACAATTAGAGTACTGCGTTCACCTCTGCAGACTGGAACCCTCTCACAGTTCTGATTTCTTTCTTTATTTTTAAAAAATGTTTTATTGATTTTTGAGAGAGAAAGGAGAGAGAGATAGGAACATAAAAGATGAGAGAGAATCACCCATTGGCTGCCTCCTGCATGCTCCTTACTAGAGATCAAACCCCCAAAACCGGGAATCAAACTGGGGACCCCTTGGTACATGGGACATAACTCAACCCAACTGGAGCCACACCAGCCAGGGCAAAATAGTATCTTTAAGAATATGCAGCTCATAGCTCTTATTTCTTGAAAAAGCTTAAAACTACTGGACACCTGGCCAAAAGTGAAGAACATCTAGCCTCCATCTAATATTAGGATAGGACACCCCCTCCCTATCTCCTTACCCCCAACAACGTCCCTGTGTCCAATGCAATTTCTGCCTCTTTCCCTTTTCCATTTCATGTTTGTATTGTTTACAGACCCTAGAGGTAACAGTAAAAATGTTCCACTGAATTCACTTTAGTGTGACTTTTTAGCATAAACTATACATTTTTAGGGTCTTCCAGGGCCTTCCCAGAGACAGATGATTAAAACTGGACAGTCAGCTCTCCTCTGAAGACCTTTAAATAATCCTTTGGCTTACACCAGTGATTTTCAACCTTTTTTCACCTCCTGGCACACATAAATGAATCATTAAAATTCTGCGACACACACAAAAATACAATTTTTGCTGATCTGACAAAAAATGTGTATAATTTTGATTCATTCACAGCAGATGGCCATTGTTGTGTTGGCTGCTATCATTTTTTTTTTTATCACTTAAAGGAAAAGAGGTCAGAGCCCCTGACCAAATAATCAGGTACGACATGCTTTAAAAATTCTTGTTAGCACACTGGTTGAAAATCACTGGCTTACACCATAATGGCTATTATGTGTGACTCTTGTGACTTATGAGTCTTATTCTAGGGACACTTCCTGCTTTCTCTTATGATCTCTGGCTCACTTACTTTCTTCCAAGTATCCACTTTCCTACAGACATAGAGAAATATTACATATTTATGGGCAAATAAAGATATAAGCTTAATAGAAGAAAATAACAAACCCTGTCTACATCTATAGAGAATTGCACATCCTTGTACAAAAAGACATATATACAGGAGAAGAAACAGAACCCCTATAGTTTGCCTTTAGAAAGTATAAATCTGGTCATATCACATTCCCCACCCCCGGCTTGAAGCCCTTTCAATGGCTTCCCGTTGCTGCAAGGGTGTCACCCGACGCTGCGATGTCAATCTCTATGTCCCTAGCTGCCCCTTGCTCTCTCTGATCCAGCTGCCCCGGCATTCTCTCAGTCCTCTGACTTTCTGAACTCCCTCAACTTGGCACATGCCATCTCCTTAGCTACTACTGATTCCCTTCCCTCGTGTGTCTTACCCCGCCCCCCCTTTGCTCCCCATTGCTTACTCATTTTTCAAATCTTGACTTAAGCATAACCTCCACTGGAACATCCCTGCCCCACATTCAAATCTCCAACATACACGTGTAAAGCTCCATGGTCATCGTTGGAGCATCCAACATACTTGGAATTTTACTTTTGCGTAATTAAAAAATATGTATCATCTGCCTCCCCAGGAAGACAGGAAGCTCCAGCGTGAACGGACCATTCCTGCTCGCTGCTTACTGCTGCCTAGCTCAGGCGCTTTCCCATACTCGTTTACTCATCTAGTCATTCCAATAAATGATGAGTAAACGAATATGGGAAAGCACCTTGGAGAACAACATGCACTCAGCACAAGGGAACTTTCTCCTTCCCAGCCCCCGGCACATATTTACATTTCATGCCCCTTAAAAACAGGTGCCTAACTATCAAGTATCTCTGAAATGACAATTTCTATGAATATTATCACATAGTCCTCCCTCCCATGTGCCCATTTATTCCTCTCATGTGGTGTCGTAGACCGAGACAACTTGGATCCAGGAGACAGAAACTCGTCTGATCTCAACCATCATGTGTGCAAGTCACTTTTCTTCACTTCCTCATTTATGTTTTCTCAGTTCCATATTAGTAATCAAATGTGGACCACACTGGCCCACATCTCAGGATGTCACAAGCATTCATTATTTAGCAAACTCACTAGGATCCACTTTTCCAATCACCCAATTCTAAAGAAATGGGTGCGACTTGGCCCCTGACAGAGGCGCATGGAGGATGTAGGATCAATGTCATGACAGAGGCAGAGGAGCAGGCATCGGCTTTTCTACCTGCATGTCTGTGGGCACGATCTTTTGGCAGCTTGGGGTTTACTTATGATTTTTTTTCCTTATGTATAATTGTAGGACATGAACCTATTTCCACTTGCAAAATAGTAATCGATACATACCCACAAAAGTCTTAAAACTATAACCTTCCCTGATTAACTATACTTTTAACATCTAAGTTGCTTAAGAATAGACAGTTGTATGCAAATCAGATATAAACTTTAAAACAACTTATTTTTATTTTTTTTAATTAAACATATTTTATTGATTTTTTACAAAGAGGAAGGGAGATGGAGAGAGAGTTAGAAACATCAATGAGAGAGAAACATCGATCAGCTGCCTCCTGCACACCTCCCATTGGGGATGTGCCCACAACCAAGGTACATGCCCTTGACTGGAATCGAACGTGGGACCCGTTAGTCCACAAGCCGACGCTCTATCCTCTGAGCCAAACCGGTTAGGGCAAAGCAATTTATTTTTATTTATCGCCTTGTTGGTAGTGCCATCTCAGTGGAACATTCTAAGGATTTTGGTGTCATGTGCTTACTCAACAGAGTAGATGCCTACTCGGTGCCAAGCACAGCGCCACGAGCTTTTATGAGTGCGGCAGATCAGGCACCCCTCATCGCTGCTTTCCCAGAGTTTATATCCTAGCAGGTGAGGCCAATATGAAGCAACACTCACAATACTAACAAACGTGGTAAGTCCTAGCAAGTTCAGGATTCTGTGAAAATGTGCCATAGAGAATGCCAGCAGCCTGGAGGTTCAGGCAAAGTTTCTTGGAGGAAGTTTCATGTCTGCTGAAACCGGCTGTCATCTGCTTGAAGTTGTGCAACTACCTTCACATCTTCATTCGGACATGTGGGCACGCTATGTCCCAGAGCTTGGGTCCTTGTGTGTAACATGAGGATAACACTCGCCTGACACAGCAGTGGGACATGAGAGAGTAGACAGGTAAAGCATCTGTTAGAGCAGGGGTGGGCAAACTCATTAGTCAACAGAGCTAAATAGCAACAGTACAATGACTGAAATTTCTTTAGAGTCAAATTTTTTAAACTTAAACTTCTTCTAACGCCACTTCTTCAAAACAGACTCACCCAGGCCCTGATATTTTGTGGAAGAGCCACACCACACTCTAGGGGCCAAGGAGCCGCATGTGGCTCGTGAGCCGCAGTTTGCAGACCATGGTTTTAGGGTATCAGACATGTAGTAAGCCCTGAGTACATGGTGCTTGTTATAATTATACGCCAATGTAGGAAAACAGGGAAAGTTTGGCCACAGCTGGAGACAAAAAGGGGAAGTTTGGAAATGGCTCACACTCAAAGGACAGCCCCTCCTCCCCACTTGCACTGAGGCTTTACCTCCTGAGTTTGGGATGTTGAGGCACCTGGTGCTTTGAGGCTGTGCTAACAAGTTTCCAGGAGAAATTGGTCAGGACTTCCTGGAAGCGCTCTTTCTCACTGTAGGTTAGCCAACGCCCCGGACAGATTTTCCAGGAAAAAATAAGATCCCAGGGAAACAGCTGTCTGGCCAGAGGGCACACGGGATATCAGAGTTTGGCAGGTTCAAGTGGCGGACCAAGTTTTGTAACCCAGGTGAAGGGACAGGCGGTGGACGCTCACCTGGAGGTGTGGGTGAGGGGTCAGCAGCCTGGATGGGACAGGAGGAGGGAAACCCTGGATGGGACAGGAGGAGGGAATCCCAACAGCACAGGAGAGCGGCCTGATGCCCAGCGCTCCTCCTGGGGCGCTCCCTCCCCGGGCTGCCTGGGCGTTTGGGTCGAGGCCTGGCCGCACCCTTCCAATGGGTGTGGGTGGTTTCGAAAGTGGACGTGACCACCCCCGAGGGGAAGCGTGCGAGACGGCGTGAGCGAGCTGGGAGGCGGGGCAGGGGGAAGCGGAGCCGCAGGGATGCGGGGGCCGGAGGGAAGGGGTGCGGGGGCGGGAGGGAGGGCAGGAGGGGGAAGGATGGGAGGCCGGAGGGGGAGGGGCGGGGGCAGGAGGGGGAGAGGTGCTGGGGCGGAAGGGGAGGGGTGCGGGGGCAGAGGGGGAGGGATGGGGGGCCGGAGGGGAGGAGAGGGGGCGGGAGCGGGAGGGTGCGGGCGCGGTGGGAGGGCGGGGCGGGGTGAGCCGGAGCCGAGGAAAAGGCGCAGAGGCGAGGCGGGAGGGCGCCGGTCCGGGTCTCCGCTCGCCGCGCTGACCGCCAGGTGCCCGGCCGCCAGGTGAGCCGCGATGCCGCCGCCGCCGCCGCCGCTGCTGCTGCTGCCGCTGCTGCTGGGGCCGCTCCGCGCCGTCGCCCGCGGCGGCCTGGCGGGACCCGAGGACCCGGTGCAGCTGGACTTTTCCACGGAGCAGCCGGCGCGCCAGGTGAGCCCCGCGTTCCTGTCCTTCACCATCGACGCCAGCCTGGCCACCGACCCGCGCTTCCTCACCTTCCTCGGGTAAGCGCCGCGCCCGATCCCTCTGCCTCTGCCTCTCCCTCTGCCTCTCCCTCTCCTTCTCCCTCTCCCTCTCCCTCTGCCCCGCGCCCTCGCCCTCTCCGGGCATCCCCGCCCGCCCCGCCAGCCACTCCCCTCCCTCTGCCTCTGCTGACACGGAAATCTCTCTCTCTCTCTCTCTCTCTCTCTCTCTCTCTCTCTCTCTCTCTCTCTCTCTCTCTCTCTCTCACACACACACACACACACACACACACACACACAAAATCTCTCACCCCCTCCAAACCACTCATTCCGTCCTACCTTATTCATTCAGCAGATGTTGACTAAGCGCCAACTTAGGGCCAAGTATTAAGAGGAAATTTAGGCATGTGACAGGGGGTAGGGGAGGCTGGGGAAGGTCAAGGAGGGGGGGAGATAAATGTACTGCTATATGTACTGCTATATTTAAACAATAAAAAGAAAGTTATAATAAGAAAGGAAGGAAAGAAGAAAAAAGAAAGAGAAAGAAAGAAGAAAAGAAAGGAAAGGAAGGAAATTTAGGAAAGAAACTTCCACCTGCGCAGCAGTGCGCTGGGGAGGGGGGCGGGCAGGGGCGGCCGGAGCGCAGCTGTGAGCCTGGGTTTGCGGCGCAGCAGGACACCTGCCCTGGGGGCCGGGCGGGCCTCAGGCTCCCGGAGGGGTTAAAAGAAAGTCAGATGGAAAAATCTCAAAGCTTATGTGTATGTATATTGCTCCATATGTATACTTTAGAATTACATCTCTAAAACACGTATACTGTAAATACACGTTTAAAGCGCGGTTTTTGGTCCACAGCTAAATTAAGCACAAAGGTACAGAGATTTCCCCTATTACACTTTCTAAAAGTCTAAATATTAAATAAACGGGACCAGGGAGACGACGGCAGTGCCTTATGGAGCCTTAATAAAAAGACATCTATCTCGCCGAGACCGGTTTGGCTCAATGGATAGAGCGTCGGCTTGGGGACTGAAGGGACCCGGGTTTGATTCTGGTCAAGGGCATGTGCCTTGGTTGCAGGCATATCCCCAGTAGGGGGTGTGCAAGAGGCGGCTGATCGATGACTCTCTCTCATCGATGTTTCTAACTCTCTATCTCTCTCCCTTCCTCTCTGTACAAAATCAATAAAATATATTTATTAAAAAAAAAAAAAGACATCTATCTCTCCAGGTTAAGGCTCAAAAGGTGGCCCGGCTTTCTCAGCTATAATTTTTTCTCACAGGAAAAAGACTGAGCCTGAAGCAGGTTCCCCGGCCCCTGGCCCACGAGTGCAGGCTGCTCCCACGATGGAGAGCTGCAGGGACAGCCACAGGTCTTCTGGGCCAGGTCATCTGGGCCACTCATCTAGGTCAGGAGAGCCGCCAGAGGCGGCCACACCTCAACTCACCGGGACACCTGGGCATCTTTAGCCGTTGCCAAACACCTACAGGCTGGACTTCCTGTGCTCACCCTGTCAGATGCCATTATTAAGTGCAGTCATCTATTATGCAAATGAAGAGGCTGGTAGCCTACCGGCTTAGAGATTGGCAGTCAGACCCGCCCTGGCATGATTCCCATCTCTGCCGAAACAGGTGGCTTAGTTCTGAACGGGCTGCTTGGCAGCTCTGAGCCTCAGTTTCTTCACCTGTAGAATGGAACGTCTATACAACTTTCTTGCAGGACTGTAATGAGGATTTGATTAGATGACAAATAAGTGGCTTAGCACAGTGTTTGACACAGAGTGTTCACCATGTAAGCTAACTGCTTCTTCCTGGAAAATGGCCAGTATTTGATGACCATTCACCAGTTCTCCTTGTATCTTTTGATGATAGTTAAACCTCCATCTCTCCCCCTGTGGCAAGAGACAAGAATTTCCTGGTGGGTGGAGTTCCCACTCTTCCCCTCCCTCTTAAGGATAGGAAGGTGATAGAGGTAGCAGCTGGCTGGGCGACAGAAAGATCACTCTGGAGAAACTCAAGTATATCTGAGGACCCCAGGCTCAGCTTGGCGGGGTGGTGGGAGATGATAGGAGAAGAGATGTTGTTGACTGAAAGCAGAAGGATGAAGTTAACGACCACTTACTGAAATGTGGAACTCAGGTTCTCTTCTGTTGTGGCAGCCAGGATCTGCCCCACTCCTCCCCAAGAAAGGGCATTTGGGGATATCTTCCTGGAAAAACAGGTCCAAAAGAAAAAAACCTACAGTATGACTTTTGGGGTCTAGGCCTGATACCCTGCAGTGAAGCTAACCAGTTGGCTGGGACTCTCAGCCCCCTATGCACACAGAACTTCCAGTCTGCAATTTAGTGAAGGTGATACTTTTAACTCTTCTTAAACTTGTCTCTTTATACCCCCTAGCATTCTCTCTTTCTCCCTGACACACCTTTTTGTTAAAGGCTGGAGGATAATGAACAACAAAAAAGCCTGACATGCAATAGATAACACTGATTTGGGTTTAAAAACACAGCGTATTCCTGTTCCAATGGGCTTCTCTCCAGGGCTGGCTCCTGGCCACTCCAGATTCCTGCCTTAGCAGAGGCTGTCTTCGATGTCCACTCCCCAGAGGCATCCGCACTGCTCCTCGCTAAGATGTAAAGGACTGCAGCTCCGAGTGGCAGGAGCTCCCTCTCCTCCTCCTCTAAGATCTACCTTCTGAAACAGGGTCTGAGGGTCCAACTCCCAAGATGCTTAGTGCAGTGCCCAGAGTAGCCTTGCTGTCTAAGCAGACAACACATTTCGCTTCCTTTTCAGAAGACAACACTGAGCTTAATATCTGTCCTCAGGAACGGAGGGTGAGGGGGCATTGTTTTATGACAGTTCCTAGTGAGATGTTTGGGTGAAGATAGCAAGAGCCCAGCAGATGAGAGCTGCAGTCATGAGGAGAAGATAATAAATGTAGCTGATGCTAATTAAGCCCTTGTTATATGCCAGGCCCTGTCCTAAGCACCTCCTAGGTATTAACTCATTTAGTCTTTGCTACAAAACTCTGAGGTCATTGCTAGTCAAAACTCTGAGGTCATTATTATTATCCCCCTTTCCCCCCCAAGAAAGAGAGAGAGAGAGAGAGGGAGAGAGAGGGAGAGAGAGGGAGAGAGAGGGAGAGAGAGGGAGAGAGAGGGAGAGAGAGGGAGAGAGAGAGAGAGAGAGAGAGAGAGAGAGAGAGAGAGAGAGAGAGAGAGAGAGAGATTGAGGCTTAGGAAGATTCAATAACTTGCCCATGGTCAGCCAGCTATTACTGGAAGGAGCAGAATTTGGACCCAAATGCTAATTGCAGAGACAAGAGTACACAAAAAGAAAGTAAAGCAATCTATACTTTGTAAGGCAACAGGATAGGATATATTTAAAAAAAAAAAAAAAAGGTTGTCGAGAAGCCTGATACAGTGCAAGAGGCACTGACCTGAGAGGAGGAGGAGCCGGTCTAAACCTCCAGAGAGGCCTATGCAAATGCAATCAGATGGCACGGTTCTGCTTCCCATGACGGCAAACAGCGGGATTTCTTTTTGGGTTGTTGTTCACATTTGCAATTAAAGAACACGGAGTACACAGAATGTAAATGCCAGTGATAGAACAATCTAGAATTAGAAAGAACCATCTTTTCAATTTGCCCTTTTCCCAGAAGTATCTAATCAACAGCCCAATCAAAAACTCCTAAGCCTGCCCTGGCTGGCTGTTCTCAGTGGTTAGAGGGTCAACCCGAGGACCAAAGGATCACAGGTTCACACCCACATTTTGAAATAATCCTCATTCAGTGTGGCACTGCAATCAGCTGGCAGCAGCTTACATGTATCTTATATGTATCTCTTTCCACCTCCACCAGTGACATCAACGCTGATAGCCTGAAATCAGCCGCGGTGGGAATATTTACACCATGGTGATTGGCAAATGCTGAACAATAGGGCACTTTTGGCCTGAATGGGTAGCTCTGTTTGTTGGAGTATTGTCCCCTAAACCAAAAGGTTGTAGGTTTGATTCCTGGTCAGGGCACATATCCACGTTGCAGGTTCTATCCCCAGTTTGGGCATGTGCAGGAAATAACAGATTGATGTTTCTTTCTCTCTCTCTCTCTCTCTCTCTCTCTCTCTCTCTCTCTCTCTCTCTCTCTCTCTTTCTCTCTCTCTCTCTCTCTTTCTCTCTCTTTCTCTTTCTTTCACCTTCCCTCCTCCTATCTCTTTCTGTCTCTCTCTTCATCAATAAAAAACATATATTTGGGTGAGAATTTTTTTTAAAAAAGAGCACTTTTTCCCTAGGGAGTCAACTTACTAGCACACATTGCTTCTTTCTGCTTCAGCCACCTAATGCAAGGTCATGCCTTGACTCTTCATCTGAAATCTTAAAACCTCCCATTCTTGGACTAAACTCCTTACTCTCTTAACTCCTTCACTCTGTCGATTCCACCACAACTGCTTTTTAAGTACCTCCATTGAACAGCCTCCTCCTCACTCTGATTTTGACTTCTTGATTTTCCACATAAACCGCTTGTGTGATAATATCCACAAATCCCGGCCCCATTGTTCCTGCTAAAACCCAAACCTAGCTTAGTCTAATTGTATTTTCCTTCTTTGGAATCTATAGGGTGGCTATGAAATCCTGAAATGGAAGATATTATCTAGTTGTGAGTTATAATTCATATTCATAAGCCACCTTTATGTATTTGCCTCTGCTTCCAGTCTCGGTGGCCACTCTGTATATCTGAGTTATGGAGCTCTTTGGGGTGGAAGGGACTCTCCTAGCCACATGGGTTGATGTTGCACTATAAATTCTTGGCTTTCAGATTTATCCCTTAGTGCTGCTCTTAATTCTTCATTTCCCTGATTCTCTCATTCTCCACTTCCTTCAAAACTCTGAGCCCATCTTCATCTCATCAGTCTTAGCCCATGACTACATTTTTGTTTCCCAAAGAAAATGAAGTCACTAGTCAGGAACTTCCTTTTCTTCCTGCCATCAAACCTACAGATATACCATGGCTATGTCCTTTCTTCCTTTCTCTTTTCTTTGGCCTTTCTTTCTTTC